TCCATGAGCTCCAAGCCCTCTCCATGGAGGTGACTTGTGCCTACCAGCAATGGCTCAAGGACGCAGCAAAGGTTGGAAGGATGGGAATAATGTTTTGGGGGCTGGAAACGCTAAAAATCACTAGGAAAAATGTAGTGCCTGCACAAGACCTTGGAGAAGCTGGAGCTAAAATGCAACCAGCAGCTGCTGGGGTCACAGAGGGATGAAGAGAAAACAGAGGGAAGTGGACAGATCCGAGGGGATGAAAATGGATAAGCACCAAGACCTGAAACTTGTTTTACCCAGGATTTATATTTCGATAAATCGGACTTTGGAAAGTGCTCTGGGCTCTTCCAGCCTAAAGAAGTGCTCCAGAACATCCCACCAGTCCGCTCAGCATTAACCATGGTGTCTCTTTTTTTAATTGCCCTATTCAGGAACAATCTGTCTCTAGCCCTAAATACATAAGGCTGATTCCACTCCAACTGCACCCACGGAGAGAGGGGTCTTAAAAGAGCCATTTCGTCCCAGAGCACGTGAGCAGCCCTGCACTGCCAGCCCAAACAGATGGGGCTGGGGGGGACAGGGAAGGAAGACGTGTGTGTTTCTGAGGTTTTAATAAACCCCTCTCCTGTCTGAATCATCACAAATCCCAGTGGAAGGGCAAGCGTTTTCCAGATGGTAGGAAATAAACTCTGGGAGACTTCCACGCAGAGAACTCATTAGCCCGTCTGGCTCTGCTCCAAGCTCCACAGCAGCCCCCATGCACTGTGTTCGGGCCTGCCCTTTTATTTCCCTATCATCTGTTCCCACAAAGTTCACCGACAGAACTAGTGGTAATGGCCACAAACTGAAGCACCAAAAGTTCCACAGGAACTTAAGGAAACATTTTTTAACAGTGAGGGAGCCAGAGCACTGGAACGGGCTGCCCAGAGAGGTTGTGGAGTCTCCTTCTCTGGAGATCTTCAAACCCGCTTGGACGCAGTCCTGTGCCACGTGCTCTAGGTGACCCTGCGTGTGCAGGGGGTTGGACTAGAGGATCTCTAGAGGTCCCTTCCAACCTTCAGCATTCTATGATTCTATGATTCTATGAAAGTCTCCAGCCCCTTCTTACATGGAGAAGCTGCCCAGCTAGCTGTTAATTTCATTACGTGAGGCCTCTGGAGAGCTTGGAGCTTCAGCGAGTGCCTCCCAGCAAATCCACTGCGTGTTAATCGGAGCATCATCAGCTTCCTTCACCTCCTCCTTCGGCCTCCCTCTCACGTTTCCCTGCCCGTGCAGAGTCCAGGAAAGGCTTCCAACCTGCAAAGGACACAAAAATGTACATATACACACACAGGCAGTGGGATTTAAGGCCAGCCAGGTCCAGAGATTAACCATATGCTTTGCATAGGCGGCTGTAATGTTCTCTGACTTGCCCTGGTGCCTGGAGAGTGGTAGCTACCTCTGGGGGTAATGCAGCTCACCTTCAATAGGTGTTGAAAAGGCCTGATTTTCTCCACTGCCTCTAGAAACCTGCTCAGATTTAGCAATATAAATATGATAATATAGATATATTACATTTAATATATTTATAATATAAAGATGTGCAATATTAAAGGTGACAAATCCTGCCCTGAGGCCTCAACGCTTTGCTGTGTGGCTATGATGAGGTTCATGAGAACATGTATGGATCTGGAGAACATAAAAGGAGAAACTTATTGATGACCAGGCCATCATCAGGCTGGATAAATACCCAGATCTGCTCCCTTGCACAAGGAATCCCACATGCAGCACCTGGATATTTGCTCCTAAACAGGAGAGGAATCACCATATGTGAAACACTCCTTTCCTGGTTTAAAATACAACTTAGGCAGTCAACTTTCCTTAAGTGTTCATCAACCTCTTTGGCTAATGGCCAATGATGTTGTCCCACTCCACTCATGTGCAAAAGTGCAGTAGAAAACACTGTGTTTTTGAGGAAGGGAATATACTTGGCTTCATGAAAGCTAGAAAAAATAAGGCAGCCCAATAGGGATCAATTAACCACTCTCCTCAAGTAGCACCCACTTAGTTTTGTAGCCCTGGTGAATCAAAAGTTGCTCTGTTAGGTCAGAACAAACCCAAAAGACTCTCAAATCAACCCTGTTTTCCAGATAGGATCCATCCTTCCCTTTCCTTTTTTTCCATCCTTTTTTGAGGATCCTAAGGCCTTGTGTTTGCTGCCATTCCCTGAGCGCAGTTCCTAGACACGGACCATCTGGATGGAGAAGAGCCTTCCCAGGGTAGTCCCCGTGCCCCGCGGGCTCACGGAGGAGGCACAGGGTGCTTAGTGGAAACGGAGTAAATCTCATTAAGGGTTTTAACATTTACAGCCAGCAAGATAATGAAGGGAGGTAATTTGGGGGAGCTTTATTGCAGTTATTATAATGTTTCCCTGGAGCACAGAGATAAAAGTCAGTGGATGGTGTCCATAAGGACTTTTTATACCTTTTTTTTTTAATATGGCTTGGGTTTGGGGTCAGACAGAGTGTTAGCAGATGTCCTAACAGAGCTTCTCTTCCTCCCTCCCTTTTATTTATGGCTGTGCTTTCTCATTTTACCCCATTTTATAGTATAAGCACACTAGGTAAACCACAGATACACTGGGAATTGGGGAGACATAAAATGAGGGCAAATAAATAGCCCAAATTCTTTTTTTTTTCCATTTTTTTTAAAGCTTTGCACATAATGAATTTGTGGATCTCATTGCCACAGGGCATGACCAACCCCAAGGGGTGACTGTGCACAACGCAAGGAATCACAGAACACATTTGCACAAACGCCTAATATCTTGAGCATCTTTGCTGAGAGTTTCTATGAAGAGGAGATTTGGCATCTGTAAGGCACTTTGTGGTCAAAAAAAGTTTCGTGTTTACCATTTTATTCTTATGAGAGCTTTTGTTATTATTATTATTTCTTCCTTTGAAACACAGTGTGGCAAGCTTCTAATTTCACCAGCAGATATATATGTGCGTGTTTATATATATATATATATAATTTTTTAAAAAAATTATTTTTTACATAGGCTTTTTCATTTTGTTTTAAGGAAACACATTACTACTACATTTTAAGCAGCCCCCAAATCATCACCTGGACAGGTGGCTGAGCTTCCCAGGGTGAATGACCAAAGTAACCAGCCCTCCCTTTAACCTCCCAGACAAAAACACCAATAACCAGAACTGGCCACTGGCCAAAAGAGCCAGCAGACAACAGTCAGCCATGCCATGGGCTCCTTGCACGGCCCTTATATGGAGCCGCTGAGCAAAGCCCGTTTGGGTTTGCGGATGGATGCCTCTGCCCTCAAAGTTGTTCGTTTGCTTCGTGTCACAGAAATGGCGCCTGCCCCCTCCTGCGGGGAGGACTACAACTCCCGGCATGCTCTGCGAACTGACTGCTGGGGGCGTGCGCGGCCCCTTGTGGGAAACTACAACTCCCAGGCTGCACTGCTCCGCCAGGCGTTTTCCTATTGGCTGGTTGTGCCGGATGGCGCGAAGTCCGTCTCCCCACAGGGCGGCGCCTCGGCCGTCTCCACGGCGACGGGAGAGTAAACAAGATGGCGGCGGCCTGGCCTGAGGGGTGACAGGGGCCGGGCTCGGTCCTCGCTCCTTCTCACACAGCCCATGGCTGAGGGCGAGGAGAAGCGGGGAGAGGGCGTCGCCATGGAGCTGTCTCCCCCTCCTCAGGTGCTCCTGCAGCATCCCTCTTCCCAGAAGGACAGCCCAGAAAGGCATCAGGATGAGGCTGGCCTCCAACAGCCACAGCTCAGCCTGCCTCCACAAGAGGACGAGGAGGATGAGGAAGATGAGGAAGAGGAGGAAGAGGAGCCGGTGGAGGTTCAGCTCAGTGCCCCATGCAGCTGTCTGGGGAGGGGGATGTCCATGGGGGAAGGGCCCTTTTCCCCTTCTGTGGGTGCAAGGGGCAGAAGGGAGCAGTGATGAGGGCACAAAGCGATGGGTCCTCATTCCCATCCAAAGCAGGAACAAAACTGAGGCCGGGTCAGTCTCTGTTTCTCCCTACTCCCCATCTCAGCCTTTCCTTAGGGTCCCTTCCCATCCCTGTGGTAGCCAGGGTGCTTCCAGGTCTCTCTCCTCACTGTGCCAAGCCTAGGGATACGCTGGCAAATGAATTGCCAAATTAAACCTCCTGGTCCTGCATGTGTCCAACCTTGGGCCTCAGTAAGTCCCTGGGTACAAGTGAATTTGTTCTGCCTGCTCTGCTGGGCTCTAAAGTGCCCAGTGTCACAACATTATCGCTTAATATTTTTACCTAGTGGAAATATATCCATGCTCTCCATTTGCTGTAACACGTAGGTGTTAAGATCTGGATGATTACGCTTGAAAAATTATTTATCTTGGTCCCTAGATTAGAGCTCGTTGTGTGACTTCTCCCAACTCATAGGAATTTCACAAGCCATTGGTTTATTTTCTCATTAAACCTACGCACTGGTTCATTAGTGCCATCTGTCAACTAGCCTCTTTGGCAAAGACTTTCCTCTGAAGAGCAGCACGAGCTGCTCATGCTGAAAAAAAGAATTAAAGGGCCACCAGGAACATGGATGTGTGCGTGTGGGGGTACAGCGCTGGAGATGTGTTACTGGCAATTTGCTGCGGTGTTAACATCCATAATCAATGGGAGGGTCATGGCTCAGTATCCCAGAGAACAAGTCCTGCTTAAGCCACAAGGTTAAGCAAAGAAACAGAAAATGTTGAAAAAAAAGCTGACCTCAGCCTTTCAGGAAACTTTCTAAATATTTAGTTTTAGAATTTTAGAATTTATTTAGAATTAGTACAAAACATGTTTCTGTTAATCTCTTCTGAGGACTATACTTATCTGAGTTATATTCCAAGTTTCTTCCTGTGGTGTCGGGCCTTAGCAGGGTGTTGGACCACTGACAGGAGTAATTGAGGTCATTTTTTAAACCCCATTCTGACTTATATTCCAAGTTTTCCCTAAATCCACCTTTTTTGATATTTTCTAGGATCAGTTTGATGGAGTGTTGGATGAAGACATTGTGGCTGAGGGTCTGCACAAACTGGGACGCTCTGCCCCTGGTATCGACTATGTTTATCTTCATCTGTCCCTTCCAGTAAGTACAAGCAACATTATTGTAAAATGCTGCTCTGATGATAGGTTTCCCCTTTTTGACTGCAAATAACAGATCTGGCCAAAAAAAAAAGAAAAAAAGAAAAATCAGGAGGTAGATTCTGTTTCTACCTGTCAATTCTGTTTCTTATACATGGGGCCTCTGACAAGACACAGCATGGCTTCTGTTGACAACTGCTATGTCTGTAGTGGTTTGTGTTATTTTTTTTCTTTTTTTTTTTCACTTCTTATTGGCAACAGCAATAAGATTTTTCCTTACCTTATCAGCTGTGAAAATGAGTCTTCTTATTTTGGTGAGTTGGAGCAAAAAGAGAGGAACAAGCCAGATCTCTGAGAATGCCACATTCAGCATCTATTGGGTGGAAAGTTAAAATTAAGTCTAGTTAAAGATGAATCCCTGTAGGCCTCTCTTTTTTTAATGCAGTCTTATTGTGTGTGTGTAGCACTTCCCTACCTGTAGTTCTTTTTCAGGTTGCATTTTAAATTCTGCTTTTGACGTTTCTCCATTCGTGACTGGGCTACAGGCCTGACCTCTCTCTCTGTGTCATCCTGTTCTGGAGCATTAAGAGGGGGCTGGAGGAAGCTTCAGGCACCTCTTCAGGGTCTCTTGCTAGTGTGTGTCCCTTGGAAGAGCAGGCTGAGGTTATGCAGGTAGTTATTAAAGTCCCTTTGCTCTGTATTTCCAGGGTCGTAATCTAAGTGACATTAACATTCTCTCCAGATACGTTCACCTACAGAAGTTGGAACTTTCATATAATAAAATTAATGGTATGTAGTAAATACACTTATAAATTCTTGGGTTGTGAAATCGTTGAAGATGCGAAATGCAGTGTACCATGTAGCTTTAATATCACAAAGGCTGGTCTACATCTTAATGGTGCAAGTACTTCTGCTCTACAGAGTGAGGCGATGGCTACATCTTCCTGAGAATGACACATGAATTGCTCATACATCTGCACCAGCATATGCTGCTCCATGGGATTGTGAAGATTATTGTCCAGTTTATTATCAAAAAGTAAAATGCAAACAAGCATGTTAGTGCAAGGTTAATTGAGATTTTAACACATGCATATGTCAGAACGTTTGAAGTTATGCCTGGTATGGTTTTGTTAGTCTTAGGCTTTCATTTGGCAAGGCTTCCCATAGATGATAAAATGTAAGAAATTGTGTCCTGAATTTAGAATAGTCACAAACAGAAACCGAGATAAAACCCATCTTCCATTTTTTCTCTCTCTCACTCTCTTGTACTCCTTTCCCCCGATTCATTTACATCATAAAGAATAAGTTTTGGTGGCAACATGTTGCTTTATTTCATTATTTTTTTTTCATTTCATTTGAAGTACTGGAATCAAATGAATAACAAAACTATTGTAAGGCAGGATATCTTTCTGCTCATTTTGCTAACAGGTTTTCTGTGAAGGCTATGCCTGAACAGAGCAGGGACTTTTCCATAGCAACTGATCATTTTGTCTTCACTAAAGTCCTAAATCCTTCTCCAATAATTAATAAATTAGGATAGAGGTATTTTTTCTATCATTTTAGAGGTCGCTAGAATAGAAAATTACATTTTGGCTTATGGAGCAATCAGTTTGTATAATGGGGATTTAAAGTATAATTCTAAGGCTCGCTCCCAAAGTTTTAAAAACCTTCTTTTTTTCTGTTAGAACATGTTAATTATCTGACTTTAGTATTTTAAATGTTTCTTTCTGCCGCTGTGATCCAAAATTGATTCTTGGTTGCTAGTGGACATTATCATATTTTCACACAATAATATCTGCATTTACCTATGAATTCTTATGCTATGTTTGGCATTTTGCTTTGTTGTTAGATCTTTCGTGTATCAGTCAGATGCCTTACTTACTGGAACTGAATGCTTCCAACAACAATTTGACTACATATTTTGTATTTAAGCCACCTAAAAATCTCAAGGTAAGTTGTAAGAAATACATTTTGTTAGGATTAAATTCAAGGTGGTTCTCAAAAAGAACTTTAGAGTTTGTATTTGGATATGTGCAAAAGCTTAATTTTATGCTTTCTTTATGCTTTTTTTCTTACTTCATTGATATTTTAATACTTCTTTTCAATGTTTTGGTAACTTATATTGCACATTTGGGTCCTTTTTTCTCATTCTGAACTCCAGCATGCCCTGGCAAAGTGTATTGTACAGCTGACTGCTCTAGCCAGAGGTAGCATTGGCCAAGTGGTTTTTTTCCTGCAGAATTAATCAAACCTTTCATATTGACTGGCACCTTACAAATTGACCCACCTTACAAATTGACTGGCAGCAATTACAATAGTGCAACATATATTTAAAATGTAGCCATATGCTAGTCTTCTTTTTGATGCTCTTTTCATATAACTCACTTTGGGTTATAAGAAGCAGGAGGTTGTTTCAAAATACTATCCTAATTTATTTCTTTGTCTTCCCCATTGTTTTTTTACAATATATGTGTGCATAATTGCCATCACTGTTCATGACAATATTATTGGAAAAAGGAACAGCTTTGGAACTTTCCAAAATTCAACTGGAAAAAGGAGCCTTTCTGCCTTTCTGTTTGTCTCACCCACTATTAGTATTAATGATCTTCTTACTTCTTCCACACCCTTGATCAGATGTTTAATGTTACAGCTGTTTAGGTTCAGAAACCATCTGTAAAGGGAAAAGACAGAAAGTAACTTTGTCTTTTCTTTTTCTCTCTTTAGGAAGTAGATTTTTCATGCAATCAAATACCTAAAATGCAAGATTTATCAGCATACCAGTCACTTACTAAACTCTTATTGGACTGTATCCTTTATGGAAACCTGAATGGGAGAAAAATTGCATGTTTACTTTTTGAAGAACTGTTTGTTTCAAACAGGTGCATGTTTTCTTTGTGTTCTTCTTTTATGTCAGGTTTTTATGTAAAAGCACCATCAAGATGGAAACCTGAATGGGAGAAAAATTGCTTGTTTACTTTTTGAAGACTGTTTGTTTCAAACAGATGCATGTTTTCTTTGTGTTTTTTTATGTCAGGTTTTTATATAAAAGCAGCATCACAGCTGTAATTCTAATGGTGAAACCAATCTTAATTTAATAAAGCGTGCATGATGTTAAAGGTGTTTGTGTATATATGTAAGGTGATAGCCTATAGAGGAACACACCACCCCTCCTTTGCATCCTGTAAAACTAAAGGAGTGATAGGTCACACTGTCTTCACATGCCAAAGGTAAGGAACAAATGCAGACCTCTCCATAACCCCTTCCACTGGGATGTGAAATGTGTTTTAACTCCTTGAGCAGCCAGATGTGGTATTTTTATGAGTTATGAGATAAACTGCAACAGTAATCAAAAGAAAAATGCCAATATTTGTATATAGGAAAGGTTAATAGGAAATCAACTTGGAACAGTAAGCTTCCTTAAATGGCAAAATGCGTGTGGTTTAATCTTAGACATAGCTAATTGCTGAGGACCTATAAAGGGCCCACAAACCCATTAAATGATAGTGAAGAGAATCTTTAACTGACATAAGACTTCCTGGAGGATGTTGTTGTCTGGACACATGGAGGGAAGTTGTTGCTCTCGCTGTGGTACCCTCTTTTGAGAACTAGAAACATTGTTCTGGTGGAAGTCAGATAAAGAGGGGAATTGCAATTTTTTTTTCAGTCACTTGTAGTCTCCCTGAAGTTTCCCTTGTGCTTTTTTAAAAGGTCTTCTGTAATTTCACATCGACACGCTGCCTTACTTACAGTCCCTTCCTGAAGGCTTATTTGCCTTTTCTCTTTGCCTCAGAAATTATACCCTGACTTTTTTTTGCTCTGAAAAAAGAGAAGACAGTAGAATGTTGCAGCAATTTTTTTCTGTCTCTTGTCCTTGAAGTAGCCCATTATCAAAGGATATTAATACAACGTCTTTTTCATGTAGGAACAGATAATGCTTCTGCAGAGCATCTAGATTACATTGTTCACACGTTCTACAAGGCATACAGGTGACACGATTTCGTGTCAAAATTGTGATGTGGCTCTAGCTCTTTGCAAGTCTAATTTTCAATTGCAAAGCAAAAACCACATGACAGAAAGAAAAGGCGGAAAAGATCAGAGGTTTGGATTGTGGGTGACTGCAAAAACCACATGACAGAAAGAAAAGGCAGAAAAGATCAGAGGTTTGGATTGTGGTGACTGGTTTGAATGCAGCAGCATTTCTTCATTTGCACTGATTCCAGCAAGATGGGGAGAACAACTGTTCCATGCACACAACTGCAATAGGACCCTCTAAAACTGAGAATTTAGAAGTGCAGAATTTAGAATAGCAAAGTGGAACTGTTCCTAGCCTGTGTCAAGCACTCCTCACAGGATACATGACAGACCAAACAAGCTGTTCTTTGTAATCATAAATGAATTAACTATTTTAAATAGCATCCAATGGTGGAAATGTTTGTCATGTATTAGCTTAGTGACAGTAACTAAACATTTCTTCCCATATCTAAGTGAATTATGATGCAGATGGTAAGGTCACTGTAAGTTTTTCTGACAGGTGCAGACAAAAATATACCTGACAGGATTATAAATTAATTTTCAAGGAAGAAACTGCCCAAGCCAAACAAGGAGGCAGCTTGGGCAATAATATCTGACAAAGCATTAGAGTGGCCCATTAAGAGGCTAAAATTGATTGTTAGTTCTTAGTGCTGAGCAATTTGCTGCATCATGTTGATGCTTAAACCTCCTGGACTCAGAACATGCTGGTATATATAAATGAGATTAAAAAAAAAGTCATTCGCTGCTGTTTACTGGCAGCAAATGACTTTTTGTTATAATCTCATTTATATTGACCCAAATTCTTTGTTCACTCAAATTTTCCCTCTCAGTTGGAAGAGGAACAGGCCTGTTTTCTGAATGCAGATCAATGAATATCTGTCAAATATTAGTGTTTTCAGATGGTTTTGGCTTCTTTTTTAAATGTCTTAGCCTAGTGTGAGGCTCATTTCTCATCCTCTCCTTATCCGTCTAGGCCTGTGAGTGTAGAGCTTAGTACGAGTGTAAAATTAAGTCCCATGTAAGAGTGCAATCAGGCAAAAACTGTGTTAAAGATGATTATATTTGTCCTGGCTAAGCTTGTATTTGGGTTGGATTTGCAATACCATTCAGAGTGAGAGAAGAATAACTGATAATTTGTCCACAGCTTAGTAAGTCTAGAAATTTTACTGAAAACTCACTTGTCCCTTTTGGAAAGTAGAGTTCATTCTCTCAAGTCAGTTAAAAGAAAATTGTTTTCTTCTCTCTCGGTGCATTTCTCTGTGTGCCATGCATGCTGTGCTTAAAGGCGTTCTGGTGGGCTGTTTTTCCAAATATTTTTCTTGTTTTTAATGTATGTGTTTCCAGTCTGGACACTTAAAATAGGGGTGGATTTCTTCTTACCTAATTTCAGTCACCAAACAATCTAGTACCCAGAGTTGTCAAAGTTTGTTTTCAGCTCGGTGGAGGGAGACAGGTACATCTGAAATTCATCCTGAGCGATCTGAGACAGGTAGGTTGTCAAAGGAAATGTGCATTTCTTTAAGGAATCTTTATAGTTATGTTAAGCAGGTGTTTGTCCAGAAAAATCCTACCTATTTTAAGTGGTATTTTTGATTTTAAGGTTAATGTAAGGGACACTTTCCCCCTTCCAATAACCCACCTAACCAATAATCCCACCTGATACTACTGCCCTCTATTACTTGGGAAAATTCTAGATAATATTTGGAGGCCAAGGTAATTTTGCAGCTGTGTTAAGTACTCCATAAAGGTAAAAAGGTGGTGCCACATTTTAGTCATGTGCCTGTATTAAACAACTGAGCTAACATGGTTAGTGCCTCATTAAATCTGAAGACATTTTGGCTTGAGTGACTACTTTTCCCTCAGCACCACAAAAAGTTGCCTCCGTCCAAAAAGGAGGCAGATGCTTCAGAATAGGGGAGGATATATGAGCAGCTGGGGTTTAAAATTCCTTGCCATAAACATTTCATGTCCAGCTCTTGATGCTCCAGCTGCATTGGCTAATTTAGCTACTAGTTATTGCTAATATTTTTATTTATTTATTTTTACTTGATTATTTTTTTTTACTTGGTTATTTTCCTTGACTGCAGAAACCTCTCTATAGTTAATAACATAGACGAGATAAGTGGACTAGAGAAGTGCCATAGTCTGATTCATCTTAGCTTGTCACACAACAGACTCACTGCAATCAGTGGCCTTGAAAACTTACCTATCAAAATACTGAATTTGGTAAGGAAGAATCAATTCCTGTTGTTTTCCTGTCTGTCTTTTATCAATATATTAGTGCCTTAATGAATGCATACATAATTGCATAATAAATTTTCAAAATGTGTTTAATATTGAACATGGAGAAATTTTAATTATTACAAAATCACAGAATGAAATCATTAGTTAGAAGGGTGTCCTGGAGGTTGTCTGGTCGAGAACCAACCAAGTTGCATGGGGTCTTGCATAGCTGAATTTGAATTTCTCCAAATATATTTTGCGTTTGCTATAGATAGGCTTTGTCACTATGCAAGAAGTTACATTATCCATGCTGTGCAATTCCCACAGTACAAAAAAAAAATCTACACAAAGTTGTGTTCATGATAGCAGTGAGCAAAGGTACAAGAGGGAAAAGTGAAGACTGAGTAGGCTACATTCATTTTAGAAAACGAGTGTGTGCGAACTTCATGTATTATTAAAGAATCTGTAATGAGCCTGAAAGCTTTGTATTGCGGCTTTGCAGCAAAATTACATTTTTTTTTCCTCAAAATATAACATATCAGAGTTACATTTCTAGATTCATGGTGGCATTTCTCTCCTCTGGTTTCACGAGTCTGCAGAGTAGACACCTCCATCCGAGGTAGGTGTTCTCTGCTGCCTCCAAAGCCAGGGGAGAGGAACGGCCCCTTGGAGCACTGCGTCCTTCTGATCCACCTGCAAACATCTCAGTCAACACCAGAAGCATCAGGCCTGGTTCTCTGCTGACTACGAAGACAGAAATAACTAGGTGAAACACAGACCTCTCTCTTGTTGCCTGTGCTTGGCTGGATGTGTCGTGCTCTTTGACAAGTCTTGGGAAGTCCTTTATCTCAGTGTTCCCCAGCTCTATGCTTGTAAATTGTCCTTAATAATACCTACTCTTACTTTAAAAATCATTTTCGACACACTTAATGGGAAGGACTATCAATAGAGAGGTTGCTGCTGTTAGGATCACAGGGAAAAATATTTTTAGTGCAATTGAATTGCTATAAAATACAATAATCTACTTTTTAATAGATTTTACCCTGTAATAATCATTCTAAAAGTATTTAATTAGCTTTTAGAACCATAGAATATGAAAACACTGCATAGAAATATGCTCATATTTGCAACAAGTACATTTAAGCACATATATAAATATTTTATGTAAAGCAAATCCCTTACTTAAGAATAGAAATGTTCTTTTTCAATCCTATAAATTTTTTAAAGCTTTTTATCGGTGCTGTAGTAATTGATATAGAGAAGAATATGTTACAGTCTGTACCCATCAAAACCTGCTTGTCCCTTGTAGTTTTTACTGTTTGTCTTCAGTATTCAGGAAAAAATAATCATCACGTGGACAGTAGTGTGTTTTCAGTAATATATTCAGATAGCGTTCATTATTATATTCAAATATATTTATATTTCAGTTATATAATGTCTTCAGTGGTCTTTGCTTATGCGTTTAGCAATAAAACTGAATTCTGCCTCACTTTTTAGTGGATAAGATTAACTCAGATTGACAAAATCACTTATCAAAGTTTTGAAATTCTGGGTCTCGATCTCCTCATCTGTTACAGGCCTAATAATTCTTCCAGGATTGAGTTGAGCAGAGAGGAACCTCCCGAGGTTCAACAAGGCCAAGTGCAGGGTCCAGCACCTGAGCAGGAATAACCCCAGACATCGGTACAGATTAGGGGTTGCCCTGCTGGAAAGCAGCTCCATAGAGAGGGATTTGGGAGTCCTGGGTGACACCAGGTTACCCAGGAGGCAGCAACGGGCCCTCGTGGCCAAAAAGGCCAAAGGGCTCCTGGCTGCAGCAGGAGGAGCGGGGCCAGCAGGGCCAGGGAGGGATCCTGCCCCTCTGCTCAGCCCTGGGGAGGCACCTGGAGCATCGGGGGCAGCTCTGGGCTCCCCAGGACCAGAGGGACGTGGAGCTGCCAGAGAGGGGCCAGCGCAGAGCCACCAAGATGCTGAAGGGACTGGAGCATCTGTGGTGTGAGGAAATAGTGAGCGAGCGGGGCCTGTCCAGCCTGGAGAGGAGAAGGCTGAGAGGGATCTGAGCAACATGGACAAACACCTGAGTGGAGAGTGTAGGGAGGATGGGGCCAAACTCTTGTGGGTGGTGGCCAGGGACAGGACAAGGGCTCATGGGTGCAAGTTGAAGCCCAGGCAGCTCCATGCATGCTGATATGATTATACACACAACCACTTGTCCTTTTTAATTAGCTAAGTAGACAGTCATGTAGGAAATTATGTAAATAGACAGATTTTCGCGTAACATTTTCTTTCACTAATTAGAGTAAGATACAGTTTCTCATTTTTCATAGGAGCAGATCATACCCCCTCTCTTCACACTGATTCAACTTTCTTTTCCAGCCCCTTGAGACTTTTGATTGAAAGGAGAGTGAGGTCAGGAGTTTGGATTGAAAGGCTTCTGAAACTGTAAATCCTGCCTAGCTACACTGAAAAACCTCAATTCTGCTTGTGTTTGCGAAAAATAGCAAGTACAGCTCTAATGAACTGGACTCTTAGGAATTTTATGCTTTGAAAAAGAGGATTTCAAACCAAATACCTTTGTTCACAGAATTCTGCGTGCACCTATTGCAACCAGAGCTCTGAGCTGTATCTTATTAAACAGAGGTCTAACAAAAAGCAGGAAGAGGAAAGAGAGCTTCAATGCTATTAATAACCCTAATTAAACATTTAAAAGTCAGGAAAAATGTCAAGGACAGGCAACTGAATTAACATTAGAGTCAGATGCTTTATTTATTTCAGTAGTTCCTAAATATTTATTAATAGAATATGAGGCTTCTAAGCTTCCAGCACAAGGTGATGCTGATGGAAGAATATAACCCGCAAGGTTATGTGGAGAGAACCACGTTGAGAGGCCATCTGGGTATGTGTTGTCACAGGGACAAAGATTAGTACAGACTCTACCTATTTGGAGTTGATTATAGGAGTAAGTAGATGATTTGTGAGGTTCTGAGAGATAAAGCCATCTGCTGTCCACTTAGAAATGCAGGTCTTGCCTCTTGTACCCTCTCTGGAAAGAACCTAAACCAATGACAGGTTACAAGTTTTCAAAACCTGGGGTCTTTTTTTGTGTTAAGAGTCTCAATGAACTTAAAGGAGTTTTCTGGGAAATATTTCTGTGCCTGTTGTAACTGACAGTATGTAAAGTCTGCCTTCATTGAGCACTGAGATGAACTGACACAGTCTAGAGATAATTTTGTAGATTGCCCACATGAAGACTGTACTATATTGTTCTGTCTTTATATTTTCATAATTTATTCCATAATCATAAGTGTAAATATAACTTTATGATTACAGAGTGAATTTACATGTAAGTATGTATATATATTCCAGATTTTTATGTGCATATATATTTTCTAAATTTTGAATTTGTCCAGGGGCAAGCGGAGCCTCTAGCCAGAATCAGCTTTGGAAAAAAGAAGAGCTCTTTATTTCACTACCATTTTTTGTAGTCAGTTGAGGTGCGTTGAAGACAAGTTAATCAGTTAATCTCAAGGTAAAAGTGGAGCTAAAGCATAAAAGGCCTATTTGTAATAGGATTCTTAATTATAAAGTGATTAGAGAGGAGGATGTCTCTACTTGTCTTTCCCTGAAATGTTGCTTCACACCTGTAAAACTTTATAAAGATTTTTTTTATGGTCTTTTTGTGTTCTTAGAGTTCTAACCTCATTGAGAAGATAACTGGTTTGGAAAGCCTGAAAGCTGTACAGAATCTGGACCTATCTAGCAATAAAATAACTAGTTTAGAAGGTATGGAGGGACATGATCTACTAGAGGTGATCAATCTAGAGGATAACCAGGTAACATACTAATACTAAGCTCAATGTTTTTCTAAGAGTGCATCCATTTTTTTTCTTTCCCCCCAAAATTCCAGCCTCTTGAAGGTTTAATCAAAAAAAACCCTACAGCAATAGAAAAGATGACATTTTTTCCTTTAGTGTTTCGCTTCAGTGCTGCTTCACATATTGACTAAAACTGTACTCTCAGGTCTCATTTAACATCTTAGAAGGGTTTATCTTTGGGTAGGTATCACTTCTGGAGCGTTTAGTGCTTACACAGGTGAAGAACTGACAGTGCTCCCTCGAGTGGATACAGTGGGGATGAGTGTGCAGATTTTTAAGCTTGATTATCCTTGAGGTTCTTTACTTATATCCCAGCTTTTTTACTGCCAGGCCCCAGGAGAGTTTGATAATAGCTCTCAGCCCAGTTTCATGACCACAGATTTTTCTTAACTCTGTCGGAAACTACCTGCCATGCAGAACTGAATGTACTCTCTTATAAAGTGACTTTTGTTATGCAGCAGAATGTTTACTGGAACTATAATGACATACTCCAACTCATCTGTGTTTGAATTTTGAAAGCCAATACCTAATCCTTTAGATACTGAGCTTCCAGAGTCTTTAACCAAAGAAAAGATCCTCAATTCATGAATCATTTTGACATCAAAGGCAAATCTGCATATGAGAAATCTAAGAAAATAAGAGATAACAATGTAAGCCAAGAATCGAACATTTTCTGTCATTTTCCTCCTTTCAAGATTCATTTACAAGAGTTAATACAATGCACGGAATATTTTTTCTCACACTATGTTGAGGCTGACATTTAAAGGTGCATCAATGTTCAAAATTGCACTAGACAGGAAACCAACTAATAGTAGGGTTATCATTAGCATTAATAATGCCACTTCCACTGCCTCGTGTAGTTTCCACTGTTCCTTATAGCAAGCGAAAGCTATTAATTTTGCCTCATCAAAATTTGTCTCTTTTAATGATGTTATTGAAACTACTTAATGAGTAACCGCTTTTTCACTCTTTTTGTCTACGGAATAACTTAAAGAGTGTATTAGTAACACTTGTTAAACGTCACGTTTTCATTTCATCTGCTTGGAAAAGCTGCATTAAGCCACTCTAGCAGTGGTGGGAGTGGTGTCAGCGGGTTGGCGTCCTTGGAGGCCTGCGTGGATGAGATTTTCTGCAGGTTTCCAAAGAGTTTTCTGAAATTTTGAACAGAAATTTGAAGTTTTGAAGTTTTCTGAGGTTTTCTGGAGAGTTGGCTGGGAAAAGACGTAGGACAGAACAGTCATTTTTCCTTGTCTCCATGGAAGGACAGGGGATGTGCAAGGTGGAGTTGCCCCTCAGTCTGGAACCACCCCACATGCTGCCATTTGACCCAGCCTGTTACTTATTTTCTTTTTAGTATTGCCACTAAATCATCATGTGGGACATGTTGACTGTTCTCTGGGCTTTAGCATGTACATCATGACCCACTAAAAATATCCAAAATTTAATAGCAGCACTAAATCAGCATGGGTAAGGCAAACACGAAGTCTATGATAAATTAAAATGTCCAAAATCAAAAGGTGTGTAATGTTTTTTTTTACTCTCATATAAAGAGAGAACCAAAATGTTAGATCAGGATTTGATACAGAAGGTTTGTTGAGCTTTGGCGGAACATTTTGGATAGGAAGGAAATTTTTCTAACCATCACAGAATGATCAGAAATACTTCAGTTCACTACCACCCACAACAATCTTAAAATGCCTTTTTTTTTCTGTTCAAAAATGGGCTTGATATATTCATCTCTCATATATAAGTTCATTGATTTCCAAATGTGGCTTTCCAAAATCCATCCAAATGACATTTTAGCTAGTTAGAACTTTTCGTTGCCTCAAAATGCATATTGGGTAGAGTATGGTTGAGGTTTATATATTTAAACACCTTATTTAATATGTCTGAAAGTTAAGGATTGAAGTCTCCCAGGCTCAGGCATTGTTGATGGAAGGAAAACAGGTATATCTACAAGACAGTTCATCCCAGGCTAGCACAGATCAGATGATGTCTGGATCTGCCTCTCTCCACTGATTAGAAAGGCTGGTTAAGTGGCTGGCTTGGGCTAACTTGAAATCAGGCAAGTTAATTCCATGTGGTGCATTTTGCTTTTGTTGGTCCATCATGAGGGCCTCTGGTGTGACTTTGAGCGTGCAAATTTGTTTGAATCTCACCTAACTTTGAATGCTGATCTGATAAGCCTGGGAGGGCAGCCAAGCAGGGTCTCCTCTCTGGCTACATGAGACCTTTGGTGGGTGCATCACCCTCTGCACATGCAGGGAGAGATGAACAACGGAGCTGATGCTCCTCAGCCCAAGGCCACAAGTTAGGCAGGATAAACTAGAGCTCCAGTAAAAATAAGCTATTTTTTTCCCTAGGAGAACTTTCTCCTTTTGCTCAACTGAAGCACAAATGTAACTGCAGAATTGCCTCACTTAGGCACAGCTGCCACATAAAAGCTAAACGTGGCATTTGAAAGAACTGGAGAAACGCAGGTGATTTAAAGTGACTGTCTGTGCTACACTGCTTCTCCAGCTGACATCCTGCCTTTTGTGACTAGAAGTGCCTTATTGAATGCAGTTAACATGTATACCCATTTTGTGAGTATAATGATTTTTTTTATGTCCAGATTTTAAGACTAGGGCATAAAAAGCTTCTTTTCCCCCATAGTTATCATGGATTCTGTTGCTGCTGATTTATGCTCTGTTTCTGTCACTAATTAGATTGCTGAGCTGGGCGAGCTTGAATATATTGAAGATCTGCCTCTCCTCAGAGTTTTAAATCTGTTAAAAAATCCTGTACAGGTAAGGAAAAAGGAAAGAGGAAGCCAAAAATAAGAACCTAAAACTGCAGTTTGGGGTCAGACCATTCCATTGAGCCTAATTTATTCTCTCTGAGCGTAACAGGTTTTCTCAGAGAATAAGAACAAGAAACAAGGCAACTATGGGTGAGGGTTCCCAAATCCTGGTTCCCCTATCATATAATTCCCAACTTTGTCAGAGAAATTCCTGAACCAAAGCTGCATTTGAATCATTGTGTTTAATATCCATCTGATAGATGCATGAATTTGTTTAATTCCATTTGTGAATCCATTTATACTTTGTATACACATTATGTCCTGTTTTAATAATGTAGTGTCTGGGAAAGGATCTCCCTCTCATTTACTTTACAGGTCCATACTTCCTTGCTCATGGGAAGAGCTCAAAGTAACTCAGTAGTGACTGAATTTATTACTTCTTAAAACAAAAATGACTCTGGAATATGAATATTCTTTATTTTTTCTTTAGCATTTTTCTCAATCCTATTTTAAGACTCCCATAATATTACCCAGTTAATGAATTTAGCTTATGAATTTAGTTAATGAATTTATGAATCTTTTTTTTTATCAATCATAACCTATTTACAACTATCAGAGATATTGACTTTGACTCTGCGTTTATAAATTGTCCTGAATGATGCCAGAGGTCAAAGATGATTCTATCCTGACTTTTGCAGTATTTTCAATTATACTTGAACTTTACAGTGATCTGCAATGTCAGAGGGGATAAAAATGTTAAAGGTTTAACTTGTTCCTGTTTCAAGGTAAGTTGCCAGTTTTTATATTGGCTTTCTTGAGAATATTACTTTCTTCTTCAGTGGCGTACACTAAAAATAACATGAAAAATACCTGAAACAGGCTGTGTGTTCCTGCCCCTCCATAATGTGACAGCCTTTTCGTTTTTAGATGACCTTCTCCCAAGCAGTTTGATCATGATTTAAGGTTACATATGCCTTTTTTCTTTCAATTATGGTTTTAGTAACTGATAAAAATATAAGCAAAAATCATTTCAAGGCAACAACCTGAATTTCATTGGTTTAACAGGTCCTTACTTTTCTCAGAACTAATAAGTTTCATGAATTATCAGTGTCAGTTTTTATTTGATTTTTAATTATTCTTTTTTATTGTCTCTGACCTAAAGCCAATATACGGAAGAATTCAAAATGCAAATTCTCTTCTAAGGTTCCTGGAGTACCTCTAAGGTTAGAAGTATTAATCACAGTTTATTACTTAATCCCAGTAGAGATAATTAAGTTAAAGTTCTCCAACAGTCTAACTTGGTGTTCAAGTAGGTGGTGGTTTTTAAGGTGATTTTTCCTGTCTCAGCCTTTTGGCCAATGTCATTGCAGGCTTTTGAGCAAGTGTTAGTTTTCGTTGCAGAAGCAACTAGATTCTGGTGTCAGGGATTGGGCAGTTTGTACCGTGTATTGACATTCGGCAAGGTAAAAAGCTTTTTATGTTGCAGTGTTAAGGTCAATTTAGTTCCAGGGAGCTGAAATTAAATATTAGGTTGATGGAGCTGAATACTTCCAGTCAAAGTGCAAACTTTGTCCTTCAGGAGCAAACGGATTATTGGCTCTTGGTGATTTTCATGTTGCTTCAGCTAACAGAACTGGATTGCAAGAAGCTTTCAGTGAAAGAAAAGGTATGTAAACACTGCATCCTTCTGGAATTTTGCTAAATAAGGAGTGAAAACACAAGCGACTTCCCTGAAGCTATATATGCAAAAGAGATTTGTTGTAATGTGAGTGTCACAAATCTCACATAATTTAGACACCATGACAAATTCAATGAAGATTTTGATGAAGAAATATTGCTTAGCAGTCTTAGAAGGCCCTGGTTCCTAGTTTAGACCCATTAGCTGTATCCATGAAATGCTATGAAGTGGTAACCCCTATGCCACTTCTCAAATACTGGTGTTAGTTTCTCAGTGTTCTATGCTGCAGAGTAGATTCTGCCTGGTATAACTGCTCATTTCCAGTTCCATTCTATACAGTTTTCACTGTAAAATCCTTTCCCAAGAAATAACTGCTGGGACTGGTTACAGAAAGTTCCTGTTGGAACGGAAGCTTTGTACTCTTTCCATAATTTGTTTGCAATATATATTACTTGGGACCAAGCCATGTCAGAACTATTGGGATTAGTATTTGCCAGTTGGGGCTGAATTTCTAGGGAAATAGCCTTGTAAAATGATTTAAATAAAATTAATCAGGCCTAACTTTACTTGCAAGAGTATTAGGAGTCTTCTTTAAGGCCCAGCTCTAGCTATATACACATACAGACAGGGGATGATGCCAGACTGTAATTTATTCCATCTATCTGAGATGTTGATTTTATTCTGTCTTATGTGACAGGCTGGTTTCCTTCCAATAAAAATTTAATATATTCAGGAAACCTCTCTTTCTCCATAAGCTATCAAAGAGAGCCTAGATGACTAGTCTAGACTACCACTTTACTTCTGGGTGGTTAAAGCCATTTCAGAAAATCCTCTCCTTGGGTTATTTTAGGACTCCAGCCTCATAAATTCTCTTGTCAGACTGAACTTGGAGTCAGCAACCGTTCTCCCTCCCTGAAGCACACAATGGATGTACATTAATGTTCTAGTTTAGATGGGAAGTGGAGTTTTGAAGTGAATCTCCACGTTGTAGAGAATGATTCCTGTTGCAGAATAGCCTTACAGCTCCTTTTGGACTGAAATAGACAGGATAATGTGCTCCAGGATGCACCTAATGTGCTCCTAGGCACTAATTCAGACCACAGAACTGGTCTACAGCTAGAGGGAAATAAGCTGCCTTCCCCCAAAAGATAGATAGCGTGGACATTATGCCCTGAGTACTAAACATTTTGCTTTAAAGATCTTCTCCTATCACACTCTGCTACTTGCTAATGTGGACCTGACCTCAGAGTTTACAGCAATATTTTCCACTAGCGTCAGCGGGTTGATATTTCATGGTTTACATGAAGTGAGCTAGTAGTTCTTAGCCTATTTCTGAAGGGTAGTACTAATCATAGAAAATACAGCCCGTTACAGGTCAGTTTTCTCCATAAAACCTTCCCCAGAATAGGGGAAGGGTGTCCGTGGGGTCTTAGTTTGATGCCTCTTCCCTGGAAAGACAGAAACACGTTTTCAGGAGGAATTTGCAGTTTGCTTGCTTCCTTCACGCCTGTTCTTTTCCTCTTCCGAGGAATAATTGAAGGCCATCAGTCCCCACGGATTTTAGTTTGGCATCTTCCACCAGCGCTGAGAGGAGGCAAGTTAATGAATAATTAAAAACCTCAGGAATATTACTTTGCATCTTACGCGGCATCCTGTTTTCCTTCCAATAAAAGGTTGAATATATTAAAGATGGTGAGCTCCTTCTGGCTGCCTTCCATCCAGCTATCAAATTGCTTAAATCTCCTGAAAAGATTTATGTAGAGAAATCCTTATAAGCAAGCCAGACACAAAAACTGACCCTCATAAATATGAATCCATCATTACTCATAGTGATCCGAGTAGCATATTGAAGCTGGAAACAATTACATCACTGTTCTTCTCTTTTCTTTTTGCCCCTGCCCTCTGGAAACAGGTTGCTGCTGTGAATAAATATGATCCTCCTCCAGAAGTTGTTGCTGCTAAAGATCATCTGACTCATGTTATGTATAGCATGATGCAGCCTCAGAGGATTTTTGACAGGTAACCTTTCCTTCACTTCACATCCACTCCTGAGGGTGGCACTCAAGTAAAGCAGAATATGTTGACATATTTAGAGGGACATTTTTATGTCCCTCTCCCACCCTGAAATGAATCTAAAGAAGAGCAGGCATTCTGTAGCACGCTGTTGGCAGTCTGAAAATTAGGCAAATCTTGTTTGCTTGAATTGATTATGAAATGAAGTTAGTTGTTCACCTCTAAACTCGGAGACAGATTGCCCACAGCTCCGTTTCTTTTAAACAATCTGTTGAAACAGATGGCCATTTGCACCATAAATGGAAGATGCAAAATTTCTGTCAATACCCAAAGGCACTTTCAATCTCTAGAGGGAGAAGAGAGCTGTAAAATATTTCTTCCTAGTCTATTTACTCCTTCTCTTCACACTGTTGGCATCCCATTGTGAGCAAAATGGTTTTATTTTTTGGCTTTGGGGCACGTTTTGTATTCCTAAAGCCAAATTTTCAAGTTTGTGCTTAACAAAGTCAGTTACTTCTGCCTGTGGAGGAGATGATGTTGACTGTCGCTCAAAGCACAGAAGGGAGAGGCAAATCCGCGTTGCTTTTCCAGCATCACCTTTTTAATGCCAGGTGGCTTCTCCGTGTCTCATTTCTCTTCTCTAAAATGGAAATCACCACACTTTGCTGCCCTGCAGATGTGTTATCATACTCGTTTGATAGATATTTGGAAAGTATTTGACAAACTCTCATAGAAAATGCTATGAAATATGCATGCTTTATTATTATTATAACAACTTATAGTATATATGGAGATCAACTTTTATACCCCAGATCCTGTTTTAGCATCTTTTTGGACATCTTGATTCATAGCAGAGGAAGCTGATTAAGGTCCACAATTTTCATAACTCAGAAATTTACATTTTTTTGGATTTAATTGTTGAGAATCTTGTGGTGTTTCTGGGCTTGACGACAAAAAATAGGAACCATCTCATCGGTTCTGATAGTTCTGAGAATTTTCAACAGGCAATGAGAAAAAAATGAAAAGAGCAAAGGGAAAATCTGAACCATTATTTACTGTTTGTAGTTGTTTTACCCAAAGGTATGGATTTCTTCCAATACAGCCATAAGCCCAATTTGAGTATTTGTTTATTGAATTGTGGATGGGTATCACTATTGCTGCAAAGAAACAATTCTGCCTTCTATCAGAAGACTGTATTCAAGAACAGGTAAAGACGTGGACCAGCATTTTTGACATTAGCCAAAAATGTAAATATTGCTGTGAATGTTTGACCGAGCTCAGCCAGAAAAGCACCCAACACAGTCATTACCAAAGTCTTCCTAATGATAACGTGTTGCAGTCTTCTACACCATGAAATGCTTATTGGAACCAGATTGCTGATTCATTTGCATTTTTGTTTTTTGCTGAGATTATAATTAATTCTGTTTTAATAATATCTGTATTAAAAATTAAACTTGAAAGCAAAGCAAAAAGTGATGCTGTTACATCATCTGCAGTCAGAAAAATCGGTGTTAAGTTTCTCATGTCGTTCCCTCTGTATACCCTGTGATCCTATCTCTAATTACATGAAAACCACTGAACAATATTATGTATATTTTTCCCTACTATAAAGGCATGTGATGTTTAAAAAGGTGACTTGATAACTGCTGCACAAGGAACAGAAGTTTAAGGGCTCTTCAGTCTATTGGGCAAATAAACGCTGAGATTTGGTATCTTCCAACTGAAGATAAATCCATTCAGAGAAAAAATAGGACACGGTTATTTTTAACAATGAAGGTAATTAAGCAGCCTAACCATTTACCAAGGGTACCAAAGATCCTGCACTACTGGAGCATTTTTTAATTACAGTATGTTCTAGTGAACTCCAGATATAAGAGTTGATACAAGAACTAACTCAGGGAAATCCTGTGGTCGGTGTGCTAAAGAGGGCCCAACTAAATGATCTCACTAATCCCTCCTGGCCTTGAAATCTATTAATCTTGCACAGCAGTGAATTATTGCACTTGCCAAAGGCAAAGAAAGCAGAAAGCTGCACACTAAGTGAACCAAAGATGCTGTATTTTACAAGAGACAGCTTGCAAGGTGTAGGAAGAGCAAAACTTTCAGTTTATCTTTTGAGAAACATTAAGTTGTAATGCAAGATGGTATTACTAGGAATGCTCCCCATGTTCTTCCAATGAAATAATAAATCCAAGGAACGGAAGGCCATGTTCCTCTATTTTAGCACTGGGAAATTATTAAAGAAATTAGAATTCCAAGTACAATCAAGAATTCTAAGTATACTCATGTCAAGCAATGATATATTTTATCGTTCCTGGAGATGACAGTTCTCTGTAAAAGAAATGATTAGAGAGGGAATTCTGCAATTTGCAAGCAAATCACAGGTTCTGTGCAGCTGGAAGGAATATATTAACACCATGTTTAAGGTAAGGGTCCTGTCATCTCAAGCTGACCTTAGCTTCCTCAGCCACACAGGGCAGGGTCTTGAGGAGAAATGAGGACCTTCCTTCTATGCCTTGATAATTGTGAATCGACAGTCATTAAAGCTGTTCCACAGATTTCCTGTCCTTAAACTAGTTCATTTATAATTATGCACTTGCGGTAGTATCCCCAGCTGGTGCTGGTATCTCTTGCAGTCATGTTATATTAAACTGGTCTTTTTCTAACTGTGAGTGACAGAAAATGAAAAGACAGTAAAAATAGTTCAAAGGTGTTTCTTAAATTGAACAGCAGGTAACAACCTAACAGATTTAGGTAAGTGCTGTAAAAAATACTTTTTACCTTCTGCAATATTTTTAATATATTGTGCTAACATTCCCTCATGTTTGATAAATATCACCTTCCAGCCCAGTAAGTATAAAGCCTTAAATCTCCCAAGATTTTGCTACCATATATGTGTTTTAAAATAGTGTCATGGATGGAAAAGTGGACTGAGATTTGGGTTTCATTTCACAGTTTAGTAACAGCTTATATAGCCCTGAGCCGCTCACCTAATTTATTAGGTATTTCTGCTGCTTATTTCTTGAGTGAGCACACAACTTCCCTACTCCACAGGAGAATTAGGAGGCTAAATTACATTATTATCTTAGTGCTTCTAAAGCATCAGGTCCCATTATATACAGATAATCAAGTAGAAAATAGAGCTGTTTTGCTGACCTGAACCTGCAGTAGGAGTGAGGCTGTTACTTCCAACTACTTTTCCTTCATGCTTGAGTAGGATAGTTATCATTATTGCATGTGGAGTTAGTGGCTTATTTCTTTTGCTTCTCTTACAAACCCTCTTTTCTGGAATTTATATTCACCTGTTTCAAATCACATTAAATTGAAGATTAATGCACACCTGATTTTTCCCACTTTAAAATTTAAATTGAGATAAAACTATTTACTGGTTTCAAAAAATGTCTTTTTGAAATTATTTCAGCTATTCTGCCACATTATCAAATGACATAATCTTAAAGTCGAGCTGCAATGTTAAAGTGAGATCCCAAAGTTACTTTCCATTTTTAGATGCCAAAATAAATTACTTGCCTTTCAAAAGTGCAGAAATGCCTTTTACTCTAGTTTTTACACGCAGAGTGAAATTTGGGGGTCTAATCATCTGCTCAGCAGGGAAAAAATGGGGTCCAAGTGAAGCCTTTATATATCTGTAGCACTCTGTATTCTTTTATTGCAGTGTTAGTTGTGTTTGGTGGAGTTTTAAGGTATTAGTGGTACAGAATTGAGGAGTGCTTTGCAAACTGCTCCCTTGTTGTGGCAGAGCCGTGGAAGGCAAAGCGATTGCACAGGATTCGGTTCAGGTTCATGCCACGCTCATTATCCTGGTCATTAAAATATTATCTTCTCTGCAGGAGAATTGGAAGACTCCTAAGCAAATCCCAGCAGCGCAATAACTGCAGAGGGAGCTTTAGAAAAGAATATAAATCGGAGAAGATTATACTGCACATAACACGATTCCTTTGGCAGAAGAGACCCTGGGGTCTTTAACGCAGTGTTTTATGCTATTTTTATGTTTAGGGCATATCAAACTGAGCACTCTCCTCTCCTGGCTCCTGCTTGTGCTCTGAACAACGTGAGTGGTGTGACAGGCAGATGAGATGAGTTCAAATGATGATGAAGTCTCTGCAGAGCAAAAGTCTCTGCAGAAAAAAAAAGTCTCTGCAGAGACTTTATACAAAGTTCCTGAAGGCTTCGCTTGTAGCTAACGTTAATGGCTCCTTGTTTTCTTTTCTTGTAGCACTTTACCTAGTCTTGATGCTCCTTACCCCATGCTCGTGTTGGTTGGCCCTCTGGCTTGCGGTAAGAGAGAGCTTACCCATAAGATCTGCAGACAATACAACAATTTCTTCAGATATGGGTAAGTTTACACTATAAATTTAAAAGAGCACAAACTGATCATGGCTAAAATTGCTTTTTTTTTAAGGTAAAAGTTAAAGATCACAAACAAATTTCATTGCTGCCCAATTTATCTGTTCCCAGAGCTAGACTGCCTGAGGTAATCAAATATCTTCTAAAAAACCATTTAAATTGTTGTGTTCTTTTCAAAGGTGAAGAGCAAACACACTTAGTGCTTCTTTTATTGATCTGTTCTAGCTATGCTCACACTTTTCCCCTCAACCTAAGTATCTGTTTCTGTAAATACACCTTTTTCTTAATTTTTGCACCATACCTGCACGCAAGCACCTCAGCATGCAGATGCAGGTTGCATCCAGAAGCCAGGAAAGGAGCAGTTTATTATCCTGTGAGTGATACGACAGAAGCAATTTTTTATTACACAGTTATTTACTCATTTTCTTATTGAAAAGGTAAGTGGCAAGAAACTAACTCTGAGAGTATTTACATGCGAAAGAGATTCCCTTGCCTCCTAGCACCTTGGTCTGCTTTTCGATGTGAGTTTGGTTCTAGCCACCTTCTCCAACTGAATATTCCATAGTGAAGAAGACAACTTTTATTTCTGTGTGCTCTCTACTTGGATTATAGCTACCTGCTAGATTAAATCATCAGACTAGCACATGGAAAATGACATTTTAACAAAAAATCTGTGAAGATTATGTGACCGGAAAAAAAAATACACCTTTCTCTAAAGCAAGTCTGACGTTTTGAAAGACTTATTGAAAACCAGTTGGAATTTTCTGGGAGATGCATGTTATTTTTAGGAGCATTGTTTTTATACCGTGTGTTTTATTTCCTAACAGTTTCATGCATGAGAAAGAGGAAAAGAGGAGAGAAACAGAATCTTAACGGAGCAGAAAATTGCAACCATAAAGCAAAGTTGTATTTTAATTATTCAGTGGAGATTTAAGCAATTTTATGGCTTACACTTTTAAATTTCAAACATTCCACTCATTAAAAATGTATTTCATGCAAGATACCATAGCGGTTTGAATGTAAACATGGCCTTGTAATTAAAAAGGGTTGTAATGTTTAAAACTGTTTCAAAAATAATGTGAAATTGGACCCTCAAACCATCTGGTTAGCGCTCAGGAGTGACCTTTAAAGCTGGGTGCATTTATAATATCTTAAAGAAAATAAGGCCTTTGAAGTGAAATTTTATAGAGTCCATGTGTAGAGCACAGTGCTCTCATTTGCCACAGCTCACTGGCTTAAAAAAATAAAGAGGTAGCACTGTCTAGTGTTTTGCTAGTTAAGATCTGTTGACTTCTGAATTATAAACTACATTTCTTAAGTCATTATTAACTCAACTACCTTAAATAAACAAACAGAAAAAAATACATGCGTGTCATAGCTGGAAAATTTTATTTGGAAAGTCTCAGAAAACAAGAAAAACAAGGAAATTGTTTATATTGTTAGAAGTCCATCAGAATGGACTGTGGTGTAG